CTCATGCAGAAGAGAATATTGATCTTTTAGAAGTACTTGATTTCATGAGGAGATGCAATTTAAACGTTGAAAGTATTCATATGAATATTGTTCGACCTTCCAAAATTCAAACCATATATATTACATTGTAACTGTTCAGTTATTTGCTACAAATATTTAACCTTATATAAGGTAAATAATTAGTTACTTTTTTTGGTCAAGGTAAATAATTAGTTACTAAAACAACAAATTATTGCATAATTCGAATTAGCTCAAATTATAAAGCAGCTTAACATATTTTGATATATAGTTTTGCTATAAATTATTGCATAATCCAATAACCAACGCGTGGGCATTCTCTAGTAATATATATCTCGTTGTTTTAGCTGAAGTATATAACGTGGTGATATTAAAACAAGACGTTCATTTCCTAACATATATAACTAAATATAATATTCCATTGTAAATTTGCAATCATAGCTGACTCAGTAAAATCTATTATGTAATTAGAGAGTTCTCTCTTCATCTATGGTGTCCACCTAAGCAAAAAAAAAATTTATTATAATTTTTATTTTAAAAATTCAATTAATTCATGTCTATGTATATTTATTGTTACTTATAAGTACTAAAAATGTGAATTAAATAGATAAACGAAAATAGGTAAATAGATGATTTAAGGTAGTACATACACGAATATTTGAGTTTTCTATGGTTGTGAATACAAAATTACAATAAGAAATATATTTAATTTATATTATAATTCAATTTAAAGTACTAAAACATTATGAGTTTATGATAAAAATAATTTTTTACATATTTTAATTTCAAAAAATTAAAATATTTAAAATAAATATAAATATAAGAGCAAATGAGTGAAATTGCAAATACAAGACAAGAGTGAATAAAAAAAAGAATTAAATAATTTTAATTTTAAAGTAACTCGATTGAGGATATCTTATTTCACTCAAAGATATTGAACAATTTCAAGGAAGTATAGAAAAAAATTATGATTAATAAAATGGTGATGGGTTAATTACAAAACTACAAAACTATATATATAGATGACAAAGTCTCAAACAAACATATTTATTTTCAATTAAGAACTATCGCTATTGAAATGATTGAGCATCACTTCATATTTTCATACAATACAAATAAGAGAAACAATTAATTTCATTTCAATTCAAATGAA